TTGTATGTGTCTATGGGTTTTGTATATATATTCTTTGGCTAATCCCTTCACCTTCTTTCATCCAGTGCATTCACCTCCCTCCCCTCTGACAGCTGTAAGTCTATTCCATGTATCCATGCCTATGTTTCTGTTTTGCTTACAGCTTATTTTGTTCATTAGATTCCACATATAAGTGAGATGTTTTGGTATTTGTCTTTCTCTTACTGACTTACTTCACTTAGTATAATACTCTCCAGGTCCATCCATGCTGTTGCAAAAGGTAAGATGTCCTTCCTTCTTACAGCCCTCTAGTGGTTTTCTGTTCAACTTGGAAAACCCCCCTGAACTTCTCACCTTGTAGTCAACAAGGTTTATGAATGCCTGTCCTCTGCTCTCTACTCCTTGCAAATTGTTCTAAGCTTCAAGGGCCTTTTTTTTATTTCTGAGATCCCAAGTACATCCTACAGAGGGCTGCTGCTCTGTTTCCTTTGCCTGAAAGATCCCCCAACCCACTCGCACCCCATCCAACGTTAATTAGTTTTTGAAACAGTAAAGAATTGAGAGCATACAGTATGTAACTGGCAACCAGAAGACTTGGGTACTCGTCTCCCACTCTTTTCAAGATATTGTACTTACCCCAAACCACTAATGACCATGACTACTGTCAACAGCAACTGAAGTGTTTCGTTGGCTTATTATGATTTCCTCTTCTCTGAAACAAGTCCCAACAGTTAACTTCTCTCTTGGAAATTTAGAACCTAGACATTGAGATCCAAATCTGAGGTCACTGGAGCTGGTCACCTGCTGTGCAAGTCCCCAAACTGTCCAATTTCTGCCAGATTTCCTTATTCAGCTCTTCCTTTGGAGTTCATGAACTGCCTGGTATTCTTTAGTAAATCTTTTATCTAAAGTTGGTTTTTGTAACATAAAAAAAAAGATCTTTGACTAAAACAATAAAGCATTCTATCTTAATTACCTAGTCTGCTTCCGACAACTCAGCCTCACAGAATCCTTCTTGTACTGTGCACTATTGGCTACCTCAGGGCATCTGTGGAACTTGAAACCAGTATAAATGTTGGTATATATAGAACCATTTAATATGCATCCTCTTTCCTCACACACATATGTGTGCACACATATGCACACACTCTCCTGCATTCTCTCCAGACCCTCTTATCACCCTTTTTAACTTTACTCCAGCACCTTTGAGGATAGATTCTATTCTGTTTTGTGTTTGCTAATGCACATCAATAAATCTAACTCCGAAAGGAAAACCTCTTTCTCCTAGAAGAAACTCATTCCTTTTCCTTTCCTGGGTTACCTTATTTCTATTTAAATGCCCTCATTACCTATGTTTCAATCTGCAGGGTAATGGGCTTCAATTTTTGGAGGCCAGGACTCCTTTGACAAAGGCTACAGAACACTCGCACAAAAATATTCATACACATGCACATACATTTGCATGCAACAATAGTTCTGGGAATCATTTTGCTAGAAATAATATTTCTGTGACATCCTTCTATCACTATCACATACCACCATTAATTCCTACCCTTCTCTAACGCCTCTTCTGCCATAGATACTGATAAAATAAACCTGGCTCCTTCTTCTTTGAGTTTACTGTGCTGACAAAAAAAGGAAAAAAGAAAAAGTTTCTCTTAACTCTTACAGTTAGAATTATTAATCATTAGGACTTCCGCCAAGATGGAGGCATAGATGGATGTGCCGTGCCTTCTCACACAACCAAGATTATAGAAAACTAAATATTAGCAACAGAAAACACAGCCAGAACACAGAAAATTGAACTTTTCGGAAGTCCGTTAACAACAAATTCTTCAGCCTGACCGGTAAGGGGCGAAACCAGCGGCTGGCGGAGCAGGGTTGCACAGGAGGACTCGGCCAGACACACTCAGGCCCGCGGAATCCAGGCGCAGGGTCAGACCTAGTGAGCGACCCAGCGAGCAACCAGGCGAGCGACCGAGGGGGAGACAGCCGGGCCCGGGGCTGCGTGTTGACTGAGGTCGTGCATTTGTGCGAGGGTGGACAGGCGAGGGAGTGGGCGGTTGGACCAGGCCGGCAGGTCCCCACGGCAAGCGGCAGTGGAGGGCGCCGCCATTTCCCTGCTCTGACCCCACCTCCACATACAGCGTCATAACCCAGCGACTCTGAGTGGCCCGGCCCAGGTGAACCACCTAAGGCACTGCTCCTCTGCACCCAGCTGTGAGAAGCGGCAGAGGGGGTCGCCATTTCCCCGCTCTGGCCACGTCCCCACATACAGCGTCACAACCCAGCGACCTGGGAATCCAAGGCGCCCCTTCTCACACTTAAAGGGCCAGAACAGACCAAGAATGGCGCAGGAGGATCTCAGAGCCCCAGAGCCAATAAATCTAAGCGATGAAGAAATAGCAAAACTCACAGATGCACAGTTTAAAACACTGGTCATCAGGATCCTCACAGAACTGGTTGATTATACTGACAAATTAGACAAACATATGAAGGCGAAACTAATTGAAATGAATGGAATTGCACAGGACACCAATAGCAATGAAAAGGAAACTGGGACTCAAATCAATGGAGTGGACCAGAAGAAAGCAAATAATGGCCAAACAGAAAAGAGTCAAGAAGCAAGAATTCGAAGAAATGAGGAGAGTCTTAGGAACCTCCAGGACATCTTTAAACGCTCCAACATCCGAATTATAGGGGTACCAGAAGGGGGAAAGGCACAGCCACCAGTGGAAAACTTATTTGAACAAATAATAAAGGAGAATTTCCCCAATCTGGCAAAGGAAATAGACTTCCAGGAAATCCAGGAAGCTCAGAGAGTACCAAAGAAGTTGGACCCAAGAAGGAACACACCAAGGCACATCGTAATTACATTAGCCAAGATTAAAATGAAGGAGAGAATCCTAGAAGCAGCAAGAGCTAAGGGGACAGTCACCTACAAAGGAGTCCCCATCAGACTGTCAGCAGATTTCTCAAAAGAGACCTTACAGGCAAGAAGGGGCTGGAAAGAGGTATTCCAAGTCATGAAATCCAAAGACCTACAACCAAGATTGCTCTATCCAGCAAAACTTTCATTTAGAATGGAAGGACAGATAAGGTGCTTCTCAGATAAGATCAAATTCAAGGAGTTCATCATCACCAAGCCCTTATTATATGAAATGTTAAAGGGACTTATCTAAGAAAAAGAAGTTAAAGAAACATGAACAGTGAAAGGACAACAAACTCACAGTTATTAACAACCACACCTAAAACGAAAGCAAACTAAAAGGCCAGCTAGATCAGGAGTGGAGACATAGAAATGAAGATCTCAAGGAGGGTTAGCAACAGGGGAGTGGGAGGAGGAGATGGGGGGAGAAGGTACAGAAAATAAGTAGCATAGACAGTAGAAAGAAAATAGAAGGGGGGGGCAAGAATAGCATGGGAAATATAGAATCTAAAGGACTGGAGACACATGGTCATAAACTAAAGGGGGATAATGGTGGGGATGGGGGGGTAGGGTGGAGGGGAATGAAGGGGGGAATAGAACAACTGTAACAGCATAATCAATTAAAAAAAATAAAAATTAAAAAAAAATATGTGAAAAGGTTCCCAACTGGTACTTAGTAAAAATTGAACACTTATTCAAAAAGTGAAGCCTCACTTATTGAACAAACATTTATTATTTATACTGGATGCTAAGAAAATAAACACAAAAAAATTTTTGTCCTCCAAGAGCTAACTAACCTCGAAAGAGACAAATAAGATACTATAATAGACAACATGCATTAATAAAAATTATTTACCAAACTTTACATAATTATGGCTCTATTTTTCTTTGTTCTTAATAGTTAATCTCTCTTTATAAGCTCACCTTGCATGTCTCCTGGTAGAGGAAGGGTCCTATGAGTGGGGTCTTGAAAAATGAGTAGCAGTTCATCAGAAAAACAGAAGCACACTAGGCAGAGAAACAGAATGAGCAAAGGCTTAATAGTGTAGTAATTTCATGGAACTGTGTTACCTAGAGGGCTACAGTGAGGCTGAGTAGGAGAATTCAGTGCAAGATGAAGGACACTAAGTAATTTGGACTTTTTCTTACAAGTCACAAAGACTTCTAGGGTGCTCTTAGCAGGATGATGGCAGGATCAGATCTGCTTTGGAAACACTTTGGCCGCAGTGAGGAGAATAAATGAGAGGTGAAATGAAGGGCAGAAAAGATAGGAAGCAAGGCAACCACTCAGGAGCTATTCATTCCAGATGAGAGGTAATGAGGGCCTGAAAAGCAGACTCAACAATGACAATACCAAGATGCCAGTAGGCTCCAGGGACATTAAAACATAAAACTGACAGGATTCAATGACTGTAGATGAAGAAGAGGATAGCAAGTGAAGAAGAAGGAATAAAAGGTAATTATAAGATTCTATCTTAGAAGACTGGTGGATACTAATGGCATTTAGAGATGACAAGCACATAAACTGCCCTTCTTTTTCACAGCTGCTGCCATTAACTATGCAAAGGATCCCACTATCTCCAGCTTTCATTTGACAGATTCATGTACAACTCAACTTAACAAACCTAGGAGAGTATGGGGCACACCCAGAAGTTTGGAGACATTAGTTATGCCTGTCTATCTTTGCTTGGTCCTGAGAAAGTCCCAGGAAAATAATATCAATGAATAAGAAATAATCACTGTTGGTCATTTGTGTGTGCAAGACACTTAAATAGGAAGTTACAGTACAATGTGATCTGCACTACATACTGAATCAGAGAATGTTTTGCAAAGATCATCCTTAAACTAAATAGGAACTGTTCAGAACATATGGGGATGAAAAGAATGTTTTAGCCAAAGGAACAACAGATGAAAAAGCATGAAGAGGTAATATAATTTGTTATGACTATAGGGTGGGTGAGGTAAAAGGTAAAGCCAGAGATGTAGAGGCAGATCATAAAATGTCCTGTGAACTAAGGATTAGCAAAAGTATAATTTTCAAAGAAAGCCCCCAAAACTTAGTAGGAAAGAAAAACAGATGACAAACATCTCAGTACATAGTGAGGCATATTTAATTTTTTAAGAGTTTATTTGAACAAAATTTTATTTGATCTGACTTGAGAAAGTGAAACTGGAAGTGTTTAGCTGTGCTCCAACCACAGGAACTAGGGGAAAGTCTCCTATAGAGAAGAGGAGGAAGCAAAGCAAGAAACTTATTGACTGTAAGTTAAGCTGTTGTATTATTTGGGAAAGCCAATTTGGCTGTTGGTAATTGGTTATCCTTAGGTTTTGAATTCTTAACCTGGGGGCATTTACAGGCATTAGATCCACCTTGGTCTAAGATGTTTCCTTCATTAACACTAATTATGTACCAAATTCCGTGCTAGGCTGGGCCAGTTGATGGATTAGTGTTCTCCCAACTACTTCATATGCACTTTGCTCTAACCATTGTCACATTGAGTTGTCATCTTTCCATTGGTATCCTCTATCAAATATTGTAAATCCCTTGAAGCCAGGACTATTGACATAATCATCCTTATCACCTGTCTTAGTGTCTGGCACAAATTAGGCTCTTAATGTTTGCTAAATGATCTGTCTAGTGAAAAAAAATTTCCTGAATATGTTACCTTCTAGGGTCCATACCATCATTTGGACCAGAGTTAGTAAACTCTGACCTTGGACAAAATGCATATATTCTGAGCCTTAGTTAGGGTCCTCACCTATAAAAACAGAATTTTAAAAAATTTTCATGTCTGAAAATAATATGTAAAAGTACTTTGTAGCACTGCTCAAGTATGTTTATATATATTTCATCTTCCTTACAAACTAACCTGTGCTCAAAACTCAGGAAAAGAAATAGGTTGAGCCCAGAGTTATTATTATTATAGGCTGGTAAAATGCTAATGTAAATTGTATTTTTCAATGAGCATTCATGTTGTTTCACTAGATACTGTAAATTACAGTTTGCTCCTTACTCACTCCACTCAGTTATACTCACCTTTTTGCTGTACATTAAACATGCCAAGCTCATTCTTCTCTGTGTCTTTGCACTATTTACTCAGCAAGATATACACTTTTCCCAGGTAGCTGTATGATTACCTTTACTTCTTTCAGGTCTCTGCTCAAATGCCACCTCAAGATGCCTTCTCTAAGTACTTTATCTAAAACTGCATCTGCTCCTCTCCTCACTGCCATCACTTTCTACTTCCTTAGTTTGCCTTACTTTTTCTTTATGACAATCATCACAATCATGCATTTCCTCGTTTGCCTTCTATGAAAGCTCCATGAAGAGAGAGTGCCTCATAGCTGTATCCACAATACATAGAATAATGCCTGGCATATAGAAGATAGAGCCTTTTGCTAGGTACCTGCCTAAATGGCATTTGGTAAATAAACATTTGTCACAGAAATCACCTGTCATCATATGGAACTAAGGACTTGCAAAACACAGTAGTATTAAAAGACCTAGTCTTGCCATTAACAAAATGTTTGCCCTTAGAAAGTCACCTATTTCTGAGCCTCAATCTTCTGACCTGTAAATTAGGAAGAGTATTATCCTCTACTTTCCCATTTTACAAATCACAGAATTGTTGTGGAATAGGGTCTCATGTAGCATTTTACTAATAAGGTATGTTTCTTAGTGTTAATTCAAGAGCACATTGTCTTACTCATCTATTACCAGACCTGACATGGGTCTGGATCTATAAACAATTGCCAAAAGAATGGACAGCAGAGGTTGAAAATTTCCTTTGTAAAATGAACTGAGCTTCGAATATTCATACTCTTAAATAGTCACTGTAAGTGTCATTTCATTTTATATAGCATACATATTGGGTTGGCCAAAAAGTTCATTTGATTTTTTCCTTAAGATGGCTCTACTAGTAGCATTTAGTTGTTGTTTACCTCATTCAAAACAATTTTTGTTAGATTGTGACAGATGTCATATCAGCACACATTTTTTAAAAAAACATCAAAATTGGTGAAATTTTGTGTAGCCATTTTAATTTTGAAGATGGAAGAAAATTAGCAACATTTTTGTCATAATATGCTTTATTAGTTCAATAAAGGTGAAAATGCAACTGAAATGCGAAAAAAGATTTGTGCAAGTGTGGAGAAGGTGCTGTGACTAATGGAATATGTCAAAAGTGATTTGCGAAGTTTTGTGCTGAAAATTTCTTGCTGGATGATGTTCCATGGTTGGGTAGACCAGTTGAAGTTCACAGCGATCAAACTGAGACATTGAGAACAATCAATGTTGTACCACGCGGAAGACAGCCAACAAACTCAAAATATCCAAATCAATTTGAAAAATGAAAAATGTGCCTTTTGTTTTATGGAAAAAAATCATAGGACTTTTGGCCAACCAAAAATTAGCAAAGTGAGCAGCTAGAAATATTCCTATTTAGTATAGCTTTTGTTCAGGATAATAAATATGAATGCTTCTTTTGACTAAATGAATGGTTCTCCTGGGTCAGCGCTGAATAAATGCTTCTGCTACTCTGATAATTTTGATCCAAGCAGAAGATACATGCCTTTTATCAACAGAGCATCAATCCTTGAACAACCACTCAATACAAGGGAGAACAGAAATGCTGTATAATTTAGGCACATGAGCCAAGCCTCCACTCATTAGAGTAAGCTAACATATGACAGGAATACACAAATACAAAATTGTTAAACCAGAACTAGACATTTTCTGTACATACATTTTCATGTATAACTACTATCTTTTCAATAAACTAGATCGAGATTAGAAGGAATAGCCCTGGCTGGTGTAGCTCAGTGGAGTGAGCATGGCCGGTGAACCAAAGGGTAACTGGTTCAATTCCCAATCATGGCACATCCCTGGGTTGCAGGCCAAGTCTCCAGTAGGGCGGAATTGAAAGGCACCTACACATTGATGTTTCTCTCCTCTTTCTCCCTTCCTTTCCTTATCTAAAAATAAATAAACAAAATCTAAAAAAAAAGTTCATAAAAAAGTATAGGGAGCAGGGAATAGTTGCATTTAGGTACTATCCCAGGTGAAATTTTCCATCTTTTCCTTTTTTCAACTCATCATACAGATGGTTGAAATGCAGAAAAAGCTGATGGGGAAATAACAATATATCCCATACTAAGCTAAAGTCAATTAACTAAAAGACAAGTCCTACAAGACTTTTAAAACAATGTTAAGTCACTTACAGTCATTCAGTCAGATGTTGAGAAGTCATTATTAACTAAAATCCATGATTTTAAGAAAGAAATTTATTTGTGTGGGGATAGGGAGTAGTACTGCCTTTCCAATGGACCTAATCCAAGGAATTTATCTAGGTATATTGAGGGATCACATCCAGAAGACATTAAGGCAACTAAGGAATAAGTTACATAGTTACCTCTGCTTTGAACACAGACTATCTTAAGAATCAATCCCCGTATGATAATAATTAATGCTTATCTGTAAATGAGTACACTTATCTTCAGGGGTGGTATAAAAACAAAAAGAATTGTGTAGGAAAAAAACCAAAGTGCTATATACAATTTTAGGTGTGATTGAAGACCATTAAAGAAAAAAAAAATTGCAAGTAAAAAAAGATAAAAAAAAAAAAAAGATTTTACAGAACCAGAAAACAAAAATTAAAAAACCCAAGAAACCAAATAAAATAATCTCAAGTTAATTTACTACATTTTTGTACCATATAAGCTTTGCAGCATAAAAACTTTGTACCTTTTAAGAAACACCTATAGTTCTTTGGTAGAGAATTTCCTGCAGGGCAGGATCTGGAATTGAAGTTCCCTCCAAAGATCCCAACAGAACTCCACTGACTTCTAAGAATGTCAAGAGAATGATCTAAAACATGAAAAATGTTTCAAGTATTATTTAGAATATTAAAAATTAATAGCAATCTACAGATGTAATAGAAGTATGACACACAAGGTAAACTTCCTTGTAATTTCAACATAAGTATGAAGAGTAAGCCACAATAAAAAATGTTGAAGTAAAAAAAATTAATGAGTAAATATATTTATGACTATTTAAAAAAAAGTCAGGAAGTCAAGAATACAAAAAAGACAATTATATAGGGATGTAAGAACTCTGTTACCCACCCCTTTTCCTACCAAAAATTTTTTTAATTCCTATTATTAAAAAAAATGAAAGAGAAGAATGGCAAGGCTGAAAGGCCACTAGTGAACAGTTATAAACTAAGAGATAATACTTAACGCAGGATAGAAGATTAGATATTATAAGGTCACAGTCCTCAATTGTCTCTTCTATTTTCACAAAAACAGCAACCCATGCAAAGCCATCTATTCTTCCCTTTTTTCTAATGGCAGGTCCCAAGAAGATGTCCATCAAAATACTGCCAGTAATAGCATTCTTAATTATGACCACATACACACAGCTTCTCAAAGGCTTTTTTAGGTCTGACCTGACATGAAATATACTACTTCTTTGGAGGATGTTTATTCATTTGTTTTACCATGGAAGAGCAATGTTGTTAAATTATTCATCTTTTAAAATTACAATCATAAAATCAAACTCATATATTACTATTGTAGGTTAGTGTTAGGAAATCCCCAACCTAATAGGCTATGTTAAAAAAAAATTTTAGGGTGCTTGGTTTAAACTCAGAAAGCATTTTTTCTCAGAAATATTATAGTAATAAGGGAAATGGATCTACAAAGCCTCATTTTCACAATTTCTCCATGTATTTCCTGATCTAAAAGACTAATAGATACTTAGGATGCTTCATATGCTTTCCAGGAGCCTCTCATACAGGTCTCCATTTCTATCATGGTATTTTCGTAAGTGGGGTACTTTTAAGCTGGAAAATGCCATACTAACAATTTTAGTTTTTATCACCTAAAATATATTAATATTCATTTTTACAACAGATAACACCTGATTAACTTCAATTCTAGATGAAAGATATGTTTTAAAAATCAGAATTAAAAACAAAGAGGTATAAGAGAACACTAAAATGTCCTAATAGTTTGCAGACCTCAAACATCAAAAGCAAGATGCTATTTTAAAATATGTAACAACTCAAGGTTAAATAAATAAATTTAAATTTAATCCCTTTTGTATAAAACTAAAACTGGTAATCTAAATACCACTGGGACTAAGTGCTGAAAGACTAAGTTATAAAACAAATACATAAAACATGATTACAATTTAAATACTTTGAATTCTTTATCTTTTAAGCCTCCACTTTTAATACTGAACTAATTTTCCTAACCTAAACACATACAGTCTTATTAGTTAACACTTTATATCTAAAAGCTGTGCTTTAGGAACAGTTTGAGAGTTTCCATGGCTATCAGGAAAATTTGAGAAAGAAAAAGTGGGGGTTAAAAGATAAGACTGCTTCTGACAGTAACACAGTATAACCCAAATACTTAGACCTTATGTCCCTAACTGTATTTCTGTATTTTTCTACAAAAACATTTTAATATCCAATAGTTTCATCAGCCCTTCCATTTTCAAACATCCCTCCCATTTCCTAAAGGGTGGACCTTAATACTGAGTCTCCTTGATATATAAGGTAGACATTAATTTTAATTTGTGGAATCAGGGTATTATGCTCCAAATTGAACATTCACTAGAGTGCTTAGGATGTTCAAAATTTTTCCATAGCTCTCTTCTGGTCCATTCAGAACAATCATAATGTAATAGAAATGGCAGATATTAGTCATATTTGAGTCTCTTTGTCAGGGGTTTCTCCTTGTAATGGGAAATAACTTGAATTAGGATGGAACAGTTGATAAGCAGGAAGAACAAACCAGCTAACCATATAAACAAAAAGGTGTTCCTTCCTTGAAACTCAAGAAGATATGCAGGAGCCAGCCATAAGGCCTGCCCTATGAACCACAGCATTAGGAGAACTACAGCTCTTTTCCAAGGCATTCTCACTAGTGGCATCACAAGGGGCAGTAGGCAGAGGTACCAAAGAAAGTACTGGGAGGTGCAGACTTTGTTGAAAGTCACAAAAATAGACGTATGAAGAAAACAACAAAAGACAAGGTCTCTGTAATATGCGAAAGACACTGCTGAAAGCAAGATGAACTGTGGTAGGAATGCAGCAATTCCCAGGGAAAAACTCCACTTGCTTTCTGCGGTCAAATACAACATGTAGAAGTATGGAGAAAAGTTGTGGCGTATATCTCTCCTAGTCAGATGATAAAGGTAGGTGTGCTCAAAAAATTCCCAACCATATTTATAGTAAAAACCGAAACTCAGGGCAAAAATTGTGAGTCCAGCAACTACTACATAGAGCACCACAGCCCGATCACACAACCTCCGCAGGAATTGGAGAAAACGAGCCTGCAAGGAATACCGGGATTGGCAGAGGCTTCTGTCGTCGCGTTCGGGAAGCAAGTGGAGGGCTATGGGAAGGATATATGTCAGCGGATATATCTTCATATGCACTGCAAAACCATAGAATACAGCGGCACACGCGACGAGTCTTTTCTCTATTAGGTACAGGGCCATAAGCACCAAAGAGGCGACGATCGAGTCCGCATTGCCTCGGCTGGATACCACCATAGGCAAGGGATTAAGAAGCCAAAAGACACAGTAACCGCAGGCATGGCGGCGGCCCAACCCCTTAAGCAGCAGCAGGCGGTATAAGAGGAAAGCCGTGAGGAGATCACAGCTGATAAACAGAAACTTTCCAAAGAGGTCGCTGACGTAGATGTTGGGAACGAGGAGCCAAGCAAGCAGTGGCGTGTAACGGTAGGTCGCCCTCAGATAAGGCGAGTGTCCCTCCGTGACGAAACGCGCGGCGTCGGTGAAAACGTGGTAGTCGGTGTCTGTGTACCTTACGCACAAAGTCCGGTCCTGGAAGACTCCGTAGAACACCAGGGCGACTCGGGCAAGGGAGGCCACACCAAACACGCCGGCGGGGGGTACCCGGTGGCTTAGGAACCATTCTGCCCACTGCTCGGTCGAACCCATGATTTAACTGGATGATAGCCGCTGAGTCCCAGCGCCGAACTGCCTTCGAATCCCTAACCCTCGATCCGGTTCCTCGCCTCCACTTGCTCCCCTGTCTCCCATCAGCCAGGCAGCCCACCGAAACAACAACCGGCTAGTACTTCCGGCATGAAGCCTGCCCCCCTACTGTTTTCGGTCGCGAACCCAGGGCGGTGTTCTCAGTCACCCCAGCGGAGAGTTAGCTTTCACCTAATTGGCTGTCTCACTTTTGCTCTTCCTCCGTCGGGGGCGGAATTTCTGGTCGTTGTGGAAGGTGACTTCCGCTTCCCGGGCTGCCTCATTACTGAGCGGAGCTGGGATTTCAAACTGGGATGAACCCGTTTACCCGCCCTAATTTTAGTGGGCGGAGCCAGACCCGGAAACGGAGCGATCAGGGAACTATATTCCTGAGACCTGGGCAGAAAACCAAGGCGAGAAAAACGGAGTGAAGGGAAACTAAACCTGTTTTAGTTTCTGACGGTTTACTCTGCCACCTCAGGGTTTATCCCAGCGGTTCGTGGGCCCCGGGTCTGGCTAGGATGGGTTGAAGAGAGCCCAGAGCGTATACGTCTCCTGCAGTATTTGGACAGGTTTATACATATCTCGAAATCATCAGTTTACTAAATTCGAATTTAGGCAATCCTAGATGGAAGAATAGGAAGGACGAGGAAGCTTCGTAGCGTTCCTAAACTCTGAACGGCTCTGCAGGCCATTTATGCAGTCACTATTTGCTATTGCTGCTGTCAAGGTTGTCTTCCCCTCCCCAGTCACTACTTAATCGTTCAGGCCTCAGCTCAAGTGTTAATTCTAAAGGCATATGATGGCTTTCAGCTCATTTTTCACCAGGCAGTATGATTTAGATGCCAGACCTCTGCACTAACTGAGGGTAGAGAGGCTCTAAGATCTAGAAAATCATTTGCACACAAAGACCCTGGCCTGCAATAGTTGCTGCTGTCCCAATGCTCCAAAACTCCCTTTTGGAATGACCATCTTTTTATTATAGTATTTGTCACATGGCTTTGTGATAACCGATTTTTTGTGTGTTTCTCTTTCCTAGTTTTCCACCAGAACACTGAGTTCTTTAAGAACAGATTATTTTGTCCTTTTCTGTACTCCCATATCTGACACATTACCAGACCTATAGAAGAGATTCAATAACATTTGAATTGATTTTAGATGTTCCTATTACCAAAATATCTCTAGAGTGGCATCCTTGGGGTCCTCCCAACTCCCAGTCCTTTTTTCTTTCAAACAGTCTTTACCTATCTCAAGTTCTGCCCTCTTCACTACCATACTTCAAACTTACTTTTGTGAATTTCTCACCAAGGAGTTCAGCCCATTACCTGTTTCCCTTCTGCCGGCACTTACTGCATTTACAGCGTGCATTGTGGAATTTCATAATTTAGATTGTATCTATAACCCTATCAATGAGGTAGTAGAAGTTTTGAGGTAAGATATTATATCTTATCCTTAATTTTTTTCAATTACTCAGTTTTTTGCAGTCTTAGGCACATGGTAAATGTTCAGTAAATACTGATTTACTTGATTTTACAGATTGACCCTATTTCCTACAGGCAGTCTTCTAGACTAGCATAAGGAGAGTAAAAGATATTATCCAGACTGAGCATTTAGCTCCCAGGACTACCCTCCATTGATCCATCATACAGCTTATATTTATCCTTTGGAGGAACATGTTACTCGTTTACATTCCATATTCATATTCTGATATCTCTGCACCTTTATATGCGTTGTTGTAATTATATGCCTTATATCGATAATTACTTTTAACCATTTTCTGCATTTTGGTAACCATACATACAAGGAGAGCACATAAAGAATAATAATGGCGACGATGATTTCTAAGAGCCAGCTTTGTAGAATTATTTGCAATGTGCCAGGCATTGTGCTAAATGTTTACCATGAATGGAAGATATTCTGATTTTTACAAATGAAAAAATAAAGGCTTATAGCATTAGCTGGTGTGGTATAGTAGATTGAGTGCCGGCCTGCAAACCAAAAGGTCACAAGTTTGATTCCCTGTCAGGGCACAGGCCTGGGTTTCAAGCCAGGTCCCCAGTTGGGGGTGTACGAGAAGCAACCACACATTGATGTTTCTCTCTCTTTCTCCCTCCCTTCCCCCTCTCTAAAAATAAATAAAATATTTTAAAAATAATTAAAAATAATTTTAAAAAGGAAATCAAGGCTTATGAATATTAAGTAATGTTTCTAAGTGACATAGTGAAATAGTGACAGAGTTAGATCCAACAAAAGCAGGTCTGTCTGATCCAAAATATTCTTAACAACTATGCAACTAACCCCAAATTAAATGTCAATGATTAGTTCTGATTTTCTCCTCTGCCTCCTCTCACTGATCTCTTGTATGAATCTTTTTGATAGGCTCTCTGTGATTCTTCTCTGGATTATTCTTTTCCTCTGTCATAATAAGTGAGACTTAGTCCCAGAAAGTAGAGCATATTGGCAAGTAGATGTTGGAGAATTAACTAAGTACAGGTTCCCCTAACTGGGCAGGTTTAGGTGGTATGGCAGAGGTTTCAGCCCATTTGTTTCTATAGAGACCTAAAAAAGAATTGGGAGGCACCTAATTTGGGCACATAGGGAAACAACTAATCAAAAGAAACTTAGTTTGGATCACTGAAGTCACAGGAGTGAGATATAAATAGTAGTTATGGGAATGAAAAAGGGACTGGCAACCCATACGGAGCTTTTTACACTGGGCTTAGGGATTCTGTCTTCTCACTTATCCATGAAAGAGCCACATTTTTTCATATGCTCAACTGTTCATTACCCCTTGAACTATTACAGTTCTTCCTAATACCCCCTTTCACTGTCTGCCTGTAGGTTTCCATCCATTTAGAGCCAATGGCTAGGGGAAAAGTACAGACATGTATAGCTCATCCCTAGCATCCTTAGCCAGGACCTAGACCTTAGTCATTATGCTGTATATACTCTCATTACCTTTCCAGATCCACTCTTCAGCTTTTTGACATCTGTGCTCTACGTGGTTAATCTCTATGGACAGCATCACATAGGCTTCTTTGCCCTCTGGATTCTTATTAGAGCACATCAGTGGGAGGAACAAGCAGATCTTTATTAGTGGCTGAGTTCCTCTACCTAAGGTTATGGCTTCCACTGAAGCTATAGCCCCCTCCCTTAGCCACCACTCTCGCCAGGTTCCAACAACTGTTTCTTTAAGTTTAAAACTGGTAAAGGCTTCCTACTGTTATGAGTCCTGGATGTTTCACTATTCCTTTGTTGGTTTATTAACCCCAATCACACCTTTGTAAATAATCCCTTCATTAAATCATGTCCAGTTAGCCCTTTGAGTGTGTCATCCGTTTTCTGCTAGAACCGTAATTCAATTACTTTCTTTTTCTGGTAGATCTTGCTTATATTTCCTAGTTTGTAATTTTTAAATCTATATTTTAATCCATTTCTAATTTTCATGCACAGAATCCTTAGTCCAGACCTTCAACAACTCAATTTAATATGACTGAACACCTGTACCAGGAGTCACCAACCCCCAGGACATGGACCAGTACCTATCTGTGGCCTGTTAGGAACTGGGCTGCACAGCAGGAGGTGAGCTGTGGGCAACAAGTGAAGCTTCATGTGTATTTACAGCCACTCCCCATCATTCCCATTACCACCTAAGCTTGGCCTCCTGTCAGATCAGTGGCAGCATTAGATTTTCATAGGAGCTGGAACCCTACTATGTATGAACTGCACATGCGAGGGACCTGGGTTGCATGCTCCTTATGAGAATCTAATGCCTGATGATCTGAGGTGAATTGAGGCAGTGACACTAGTGCTGGGGAGTGGCTGAAAGTACAGATTATCATTAGCAGAGAGATTTGACTGCCAGGAGACCATAATAAATCAATTGCTTGCAGACTCATATCAAAACCCTATCAGTGAGTGGCAAGTGACAGTTAAGCTGCTATAAAGCCATCCTTACCACTTCAGTCCATGGAAAAATTATCACTTTTGCCAAAAATTGCCAAAAAGATTGGGGGCCACTGACCTATGTTATTCTAGAATCTGTGACATTACCTTTCCTACAAGCTTTTGCAAGACTCTTAACTGGTTTAGTGTCTCCTGTCTCTGAATTCTACTGCCAGATTGATATTCATAATAAGTACTTTAATTAGATTCTGTCCTTCCTCAAACATCTTTAGTATTTACCAACTGCCTATAAAAATAATAAAGTATTTAGTCTGACACTTAATCGCTCTATTACTCTACCTTTTTAACCTACTTACTTATAAGGCCCTTAATTCTATGTTTATTAACCATCCCTTAAATATGCCTGTACTTTCTTCCTACAGTACTTTTGCTTATGCTGTACCAACTGCAAGCAATTGTATTTCTCTTCTCTCTGATCTTTTCCCAGACTTTAACAAGTGGAAATGATCTGTTCTATTTTTAATAGTTAACTATGCCATTCCTTGTGAAATATATAAATCTTTTATGGTTATTTAACAAAATACCAACTCTACAGCAAACTAGCTGTGTGAACTTTAGGCAAGTTCCTTTCCTCCGCATTGTCTTCTTTTGCTGCATTTATTGAGTGTCATACATGCCAGATGCTATGCTAAGTGCTTTGATCAACTTGGTCACTAGGTCCCTGATAACCACACATTGACATGAATCCCAGTAACCTGGCACTTAATGTCTGAGTGACATGACACTAGTCAAATAAATTTACAAGTAATATAAAATTGTAGCTGTGGTAACAACTATAAAAGAGAAATACAGGGTGCAATCATAGCTTTTAACAGGGTCTGATCTAAGATGAGCATAGTAAAATTTAACAAGGTTAGGGGTTGGCAAGCAGTAGAGATTGTTCCACAGAAGCAGGTGCAAAACCTAATATGATTGTATGTCCCTTTATGCAGTATATCGTGTCTTCCTTTTTTTTTTTTTTTGTTACTTAAATGGTACCTTCCAACTAATAGGGACTCGATATTTGCTGATGTTTTTCTTGCATCTTATGTCAAATGTGCTCTAACCAGAACTCTTAGACTGATACCATTCCTTGGCTAGTGCCTGTCCCTGTGAAATGTTTTCCATAGAGATCTCACTTTTTGGAACTTATTGTTAATGATATATCTGGCCCTTAGTGTATGCTACTAGTTATTTTAGCTTGTTTTCCTCATAAGTTTGTAAGTTTCTTCAAACTTTCAGGGACTATATTTCTAATATTTTATATATGATATATGATGTGTGTACTGGCCCACAGTGTCCATGGCATTATGGATGATATATGAGATAAATTCACACGGACTACCGAGTCCTGTGGAGGAAAAGGGATGGCCCGGCTACTCCCTCAAGGGGGGAGTGCCTCAGAGCGACCTAGCTACTCTCTCAAGAGGAGACCGAGCCGACCCTTGCCCAAACAGGCTTTTATTGGGTTCAATTAGCACAGGAATACAGGTAAAGTTCATTAATCATTGTCAGGCAGTAAGGATCACACAATAGATAACAAAGAACTCTGAGGGCCTATTCCGAGTCAGGGTCTGTTAGCTAAAGGGCTACAAAACTTTGGGAAACAAACTCATTTCCTGCTTAGACCCCTATCATTTAATTGAGAGCATTCTTAGCAAGGCAGATTTCACAGGATTTTACGTATTCTTTCTTAGGTCTGATCACCCTGGGAGCCCTCCCTTTCCAGCACAGGGCTTCACCGCCCTCTGTCATAGTTTCAGGCTTAAGTCAGGTAGTGGAAGTAAGGCAGCCAAGAGATTAGGAGACTTCTCGCAGACAGAATGAGGACTCAGGTTTTGTCAAAATCGAGGAACAAGGGTCCATCACCTCCTTTCTCCATAGCCCCCCAAGTCCTTCCCTGGGGCCTCCATGTGATCATGCCTGTCTTAGGTTGTTCTCCCCTTGGGGAATCTTACCCGTCATTGGCTAACCAATCAAGCATTGGAGGCCAGTTATGGATGACATAAAAAGAGCTGATGTAGTGCTCTTGCCAGGGAGATAAGCTTTGTCTCCTTAGTGGCTTATGGTCTGAAAGTCGCTCACTCAGCCTTAGCCATGCGGGGGTTATAGCTTCTGAAACCAGGCAGGGTGGTGCCCAACAGATATATGTCATATGACTTATCACTAAAGTAGTGTTTTCCAAATGTAGATAAGTATTTATTGATGATGATTAAGAGTCCCAATTTTTTTTCCATCATTCTTTGGTCCTCCCATTTCTGAGGAACAAGAGTCAGTGTGTGACAAGAGCCCAGTGACTATAGGATCTGTTGCATCTCCTCTCAGAGAGAATTTAGGGCTAAATACTGAACCAGGCCTTTTTCGGGCTCATGATAGATAACAATAGAAGAGAAATCCATTTCTTTGGGGGGAGAAATGCCCAGCAGTTAATTGAATAGGCTCATAGAGCCCTGAGTATATATAAGGAATATCTACATGGTAACATGGAAGGGAAATTGGGCATCTGATCACTGGCAAAAGGCACAGTGCTCAGGATCCAAGGCAACTTGACTTCCCTGAATTAAGCTGAGCCAAATATCAGATTTCTGGGTCTTAACTTAAAAAAACAAAAACAAAAACAAAAAAACCCTTGTTCTTTAAAAACTGAGTTTGAAAGGTACCCAATAAATTATCCTAAACTTAATGAGGGGAGGTGTAGAAAAGGTATAGAGGGAATGATTAAAAGCAATAAAGGGAAAAAGGGTGGTCACATGATAAGAAGTTCTTCCAGCACAGACAAATCCAACTTTTTTTCCAGGTAGACCTGTGAGTTCAGACCTTAATAATAGGATTGGGTTTGGATTTCTAAAAGAAGCTAGAGTGAAGAACAGAGATTCATCCATTTTATTTAGTAGCTTTTCTGAACAGACAAAAATAAAATAAACCAAAAAAGTCGCACACATCTTTTTCCTAGGTAAATTTGACCTACTTGAAAGCAATGGATGGGGAAAAACTATCCCTAGATACTTTCACTTCAGAAGAGTTGGCCATTACTGAGCCTGGAGGCCTGTGCTAAGTGTACAGCAAACATAGTGTATTGTTTTACAAATAAATTAGGTTAAATAGCAGGGGTAAAGGACCAAGGTAGCAGCCCTGAGGAGAGAGCAGTGGCTCTGGCTTGTAGCAATAGTAAAACTGGCTTTCTTTCTTTACTGAGGTCTTATAGGGAAATCTCTGGATGGTCTTATTAGTTGACAGAGGTTGAAGGAATAGTGATGTGAAGCACAGAGTAGGAATTTCAGAAGCCTCTCATGAAACTGCATGATCCTCTAGGGCAGCTGGTAGCCTCACTCATTTTCATACAGAAGCAACAATGTTAAAGCACCATGACCCCATGCCCAAAAGACATAAAATTATACCTTTTAACTTGCCAGGATTGGGACTCAGGACACCTCTAGCATAGACAGCATTCTCTTTGGGCTGCTTACAGCCACATAAAGGGCTGAGCCTCTGCCTTGGGAGTATCTTGGGCCCGATACTTCTTTTATCCTGGCCTTTGGGTTCTAGGGTCTAGGCTCCTCTTTAGTGCCTCTGCACACCAAGTGTCCATCTTCTCAGTTGAATGGCCATTGCCTCCAGGGACTGGAGCTGTAGTTTACCCCACCCTTGTGGAAGAAGAGGAAATTCAGTGTACTTCAAGAGAAGGAAACAGAGAGATGCTTTTATTTAGTAACTTTAAACAGTGCTACAGTGACAGGACACTTCTGGGTATGGGAGAACAACATAAGTAGGAATCCTCCTAGATTTTTATGGGTGGAGTGTCTCCATTTTTCTCCTGTCTCCCTGGTCCTATGAGCAACACAGACTTTATCAGAAGCCTCAATGGATGAATCTTTTATTTCTGAATGGAAGCTTCCACCACTCTCTTTCCCATAATCAGGTATCTCACTTTCATATTGAAACTATGATTACTGGTTGTTAAATTTGGAAATCTAGGGAGTCAACCTCATAACCAGAGCGAGATATCTGCCCTTGCTAAGCTCTCTGAACACTTCCTTTCTGTACATTCAGTATATCTGGTTTTATATACATCTATATACATCTCTCTACATATATATATATTTTGTTTTTCTAGATAAATCTTTCATATATATCATATTCTAATTTTCCAAGCCTCCACTTACCTCTTGTTTGCTAGCTCATATAAAACTCAAGGGTTTCATTGATTTCACTAAGTTCCTCAGTAGCACACTTTCTCATCTTTTGTATTGCTGTCATCAGTTGTTTTGCCCATCCTCTGAAATCCTTCCCTTTAACATATGTGCCTAGTGCTCTCTTGACATGCCAAGTCTATGGTTGGTTGGTCAGGGATCTCATTTCTCACCAGACCTGGCTGCTTCTAAAGCCTATCTGATAGCCTGAAAGAGGATTTCAACTCAGAAGAAACAGAGGCCGTAGTCTAAAGAGCTATTAGGGTTGACAGTGCAGGGTGTTGTTCTGAAGGGTGGAGAAAGGGGAATTATGGGAGAATAAGCCAGGTTGTATTAAAAAGTCAATATGATTTAAAGTGCAATTTAGAGCAAAATCTGAGATCATGTTGGAGAATCAAAGTGGAAAATGTTCTCACTTTGTTATCCAAAAATGGGAGGAGAATATGGGGGCTTAGAATAGACACCAGGGGGTGGGAAGAGAGTAATTCCCTTAGAAGTGAAGCAGCTGTGTACTGAAGAAACTAGAAGGAGGATTATTTGCTAATAGATAAGAAGAGACATACACTGCAGTACTTTTTGCCCTTACACATTGAAAGAAATCAGGTACATCTAACGTTGAATAAAGTTGAGAGCCCAGAAGCTGACTCTTTGCCTTCTATTCTGTTTCAGATTTTCAAGTTTTTCTGGTTCTTATTTCTTAAGAGCAAGGGAGTAATGGTGGGGTTTACCATAAATAGAGAACAAAAGGTCTTCAAGACATAATTAGAGTTCAAGGAGAGATCAGTATAAGAAGATCTTATGCAATTGTAGTAAGTGGTGATCATGAGTTCAGCCACAAAATTTTGTGAGTTTCTCAGCAAGGGTCTGCACACAGGTGCATATACAAATTCTGTAGAAATGCGTAGCTTGTAACGATTGGCTGAGTCCACCTTAAACAAACTGCCACTTGATTCATATAGGGACTCTATACCATACCACTTTGCGATGGGGGGTCCCTTGGTACCTAAATGAGACCAGGAAGTACTCTTTGGATTTCAGGTATTTAAAAAAGTTCTGGTGCCCATATGCCCTTCCTGACCCCTACCACAGTCCCCACCAGAGAACAAGGAATGGCCTGAGTCTGATATCTTTTTTTTTTTTGTCCACGGCCATACCACCCTGAACGCGCCTGATCTCACCTGAGTCTGATCTCTTAAAGTATGCATTTTAAGTTGCCTGAAACTGGCCTCATGGCAAAGAAAAGTAGAAATGAGACTGATATTCACTTTATACCAAGTCTCAGGAATGGCTGAGGGAGACTATGGTTATTTGATCAGGAGGTATAATTTCCTTCCCTCCCAGCATTGCCTAATGAAATAGCTGGCACTCTTCAGAAGGACACTGGGAGGGATAACAGGGAGAATAGTGTCTGCCAGCCACAGAGTTGTGCCTCTGCCCAAACCTTAACAAAGCATCCCTGATTCCCAGAGGCTCTATATAATAGTCTGGAAATCTGAGAATTTACTCATCCCACTTGGTCTGGTTTGTTTAACCTTCCTGGGAACTCTGTGCTCTGTGAGTCTAGTTTTAGTCAAACATCAGTGTTAAGAGAGGAAGGCCCTTGCGTTCCCACCCCACCCACTCACTCCCACTTCCTCCGAAGTGTTAGGGTTAAGGGAACGGTGGTCTAGGCAGGAAAGAAGAAAAGCCAAGGGCAGTGTAATCTGGAACACCACTTCCAGACTTTTCCATGAGGTCTAGGCACTGAACTTTTCCCCAGGGGAACATATTAGTGAGAGGCATTCCATTCAGAGGACACAGGGAAAATCATCCTCCCAGATCAACCTGGAGGACAGGTTCAAGGATTTGGACAGTAGTTCTGCAGTGGTCATTCCACAATGAAGAGTTCAGAATCCAGGGTGGGTACAGGTGTGATGGTTGTGACTAGGTTTTCCATTTCCTGGGTCAACCCAATTCTCTGGGAGCAGAAGCATCAGTGAGAGAACTGAGTATACTGATGATCCACTTTAGAAACTACAAAGTGTAAAATAGTGGTGACCAAGATCCTACATTAAGTCAGGAGTTACCAACAAAAATTCACCATCAAAAACCACAACTCCTTTCAACAGGTTGGTAGAGACTTCAGTATAAATTGATTAGATTCCTATATTTCTGAGGACACAAACCCTAAGGGGATCCTCACAGAGTATTGCCTTAGGGAACTTGCTAGGCAGACAGTTAGAGAGGGAAGGGATTCCAGTCTCAAATCACCAAACTTTCTGGTGGTTATGGGAGGTGGGGAGGGGAGTCAATCCATCCAACTGCATGGTCCTCCTAATGTGAGCCTCCCACCATGGCCAAGGCCTCCAAGCCTTTCAGGCTAATCTTCCCTCTCTTTCCCCCATCCTGGCTTAAGGGTGGGGGTGTTGTATAATGTGGTGGAAGTAGGGTGAAGTGAAAGGGGAGGATGGGAGAAAAACTTGGACTCCAGTTGGTCTACACTTCCCATAGGCCACTGGGTTAAAGGACAAGGAGTGGGAATGGGTGCTTCTGGAACTCTCCAGTAAGCCTGGGTAATATCCCAGAGTCCCAATAAAGAAAGTGAAATCAGAGGGATAGGGAGGTGGGAAACTAAGCAATCAGACATTGCTGATGCGTACACTAAGGGCAGTGCCCTCCTTCTCAGCTTGTTCCCTGAATGATTCCTCCAGCTTGAGCTTTTCGGGGTCTCCGTAGCATACAGTACTGTCACGTAGGCCACTAGGAGAGGCCACTTTCACAACTTGGTCAAAAAGGCTGAAGTCAGCTATGTATTTGCCACTGGCTGACAATGAGATGGCAGGTGTGAACTCATAGCCCCAAAGGATCTCCTCTGGCAGGTAGGAAGTGCGCACTTGGCAGGTGGCACTGGTGGATTCCACTGTCCCACTTAGGATCAGCACCAGCTCGAAGTCACCCTCACCACTGCGAAGGGGGAGGTCTTTTAATGGACTGGTCTCATCTACCACATGGTAGAAGGTAAGGGGTAGAATGAGGAAGGGGCTGTCAGAGGCCGTGTCTACTTGGAAAGTCACATTGACCTGGTTGAGCCGGATGTTTTCACCCTCTTTGGTCTGGTGGGTCTGAAGCAGTTTGCCTGTCACCTGGCAGCCAATGAGGAGGCTCTTACGCATATTGGCAACTCGAATCATAAGGCAGGGCTTCCCGTTGTGGGCAGCTATGACTGCATGCTGGCTGAAACGGATAGTCTCAGCCCGCTTCTTGGGCCGAGCAATCTTCGCCAGGAAGGTACCTGTAATGAAGATTTCCAGGATGGTGGTGAGTACCAACTGGGCAATCAGAAGTACGATGGCCAGTGGACATTCCTCACTGATATAACGGAAGCCATAGCCAATGGTGGTCTGGGATTCAAGGGAGAAGAGAAAGGCCCCAGTGAGTGTGTGGACCTGTACCACACAGGGGGTATGATTAGCTGGGGGACCCAGCTCCAGCAAGTCCCCATGGGCCACGGCTACCAGATACCACACCACGCCAAAGAGGAACCAGGTGCCTGCAAAAGTCGCAGAGAAGAGCAGAAGCTTGTAGCGCCACTGCATGTCGATGAAGGTTGTCCACAAGTCCTTGAGGTAGAGGAAGCGCTTGTCAGCAATGTGCTCCATTCTCACATTGCTGCGACCATCTTTTGTCAGAACTCTTCGCCGTCGTATCCCTGGGCCCATTAGGGGCCGACTTTCTGTCTGAGTGGTCTGACTGTAATATACCTTGGCAACTGATGTCATCTGGAGGGAGCAAGACAGCATAATGGAGGTTATTGCAAAATCCAGCCAATTCCTTGCCACCACCCCATAGGAAGAAAGAAATAACGTTCGTTTTGATACCATTGGTTTGTTCTTTTATTAGCAAATATTTTTGAGCTCTTGCTATATGCCAGGCACTGTGCAAGATATTGGTAAGTCAAAGATGAAAATGACATCATCCTTGCTCTCCAAGAACTCACAGCCTAGTGAGAAAGACATGTGTACAGTAAGCAAATAATTGCAATACAATTTAATATTTGTAATCCTTGGGAGAAACATAGAGGAAAGAATAATAAGTTCACAGTTCCTTAAAGGTGGGGCCAGAGTATAGAGGGGCTCTACTGATCTCCATTCATCACTAAACCAATTCTGTGAAGATCTCTAATTCTGAAATCCCTCACCACCCTCATGAATGACATCAGCAATAAAAACTACCTGGCTGAGATCCTTGCAGGCCAATTCCCCTTACAACACACATATCCTTAATTTCTTATTCTTTCCCCTACCCCTAAGTCAATACTCAATTTTGATACTAAGATATTCGTCTGGCTCATAAAGTAGTAACAACTGCCCATTCTTCTACCCTTGAAGATGTTCTCTAAGCACCCAGCCCATTTCACTACTTATTAGTGTTAGTATCATCACCACAACCATCATCTATTTGTATCATTTGGGGAACTTTGGTCTAGGTTAGGGTTTGGGGTAGTATTAGAAAGAACACAGGACAAAAAGAAGTTTATTTAAAAAGTAAACAATGGTGGAGGAGAAGAAATGATTGGTTTTCTCAAGGATTGGGAAAAATGCCAGATTGGAGGTGACAAAATTGTCTTGACTGAAGGAAGTAGAAAGATTAAGAGTATATGATCATGGCTATATCTGCACAAGCTTAAATTCAGGATTATTATTTGTCCTGATAATAGAAAGTGAGATAAGGCTCTGAAATAGGAGACAGCTCACTTAATTCAAGGTGTCTGGCACCCCTGCCCAAGGAGTAACTTGTACTTTTCCAGCAGTAAAAGAATTGTAATCACTTGAGCCCTTTGATTCTGAATCTGATGGCCAGACCTTCTGGGAAGGAGCAGGATAATCTCTGTGGAGTATGGTCCTTCTTGGAGAACAGAGAAGCTCATCATATTCTTTTTTCTGAGAAGCCTGAGCCATTGCATTTTTTCATTCCTTTACACCACCCCTACTTTTCTCCATGGCCTTATACCTTAAGAACTCTAAATTATTTGAGTCTATTCATATACACACCTAAATAGGCACTAAATTGGAGATCACTGGCAGATGAAAATGCCAGAATGTTCAGAGGCAATCAGTAGCCCATTTTATAAGCCCATGCCCACTTGGTACTTTTGCCCAGGTGAGACTACTCAGCCAGACCTGGATGCCATCCACTTCCCAATATCCTTAGCTAACTGAAGTAAAAGGGAAGATCTATAATTCTGAAGTTTGAAGAATTCTTATTTAGAGGCCTAGTACAGCCTTATTCGGTATTCAGTAGTAGTAGTAATATGAAGAAACAACCACCCTACTGCCTGCGTCTATATGCTATTTTAAAGTTTACACATTAGTATGCCTTCTTATTTGACCCTCAAACTCTTGAAAAGATGTGAAACCTCTATAAGAGATTTTGAAGAACTCTTATAGAACAAAGGAAGTACTAGAAAGCTGTGGATGAATAAGCATAATTTAAATTTTCAATAAGAAGAATGAGGTATATTTCACAAACTACAAACAGATGAGATATTGATCCTAGACAAGATTTTAGAATGGAACATTAAGATTGTGAGTACTTGGTGGGATACAGAAAAGGCAGTTGTCAGTAGGACCCACCATGGGTAACTAAGAACAATTCACATTAAACTAACCTAATTTCCGTCTATGACAAGGTTACCAAATTGGCAAATCAGAGAAATGCAGTGGATAAAGCATCTCTAAGGAAGATTTTTAACAAGATCTCTCATTATGTCCTTGGGGACACAACAGAGAAAAATGAACAGAATGCTACTATAACTCAGTGATTTAAAAGTAAAAGATCAGTGGTATTGGTGAGTGGATCATGATAGCCTGGAATCAGTTTTCTAATGATATACCAGAAAGCTTTATCTTTGTAATTGTCCTGCTCAATGTTCTTAATACTAATTTTATGCAAAATATAGAACACATGGTCATGACTTATGTGGATGACAAAAAGCTGAGGCAGATCTCAAATGCAAAATCAGGGACAGAATTAGGATCCAAAGGAGACACATGAGTGGGCCACATCTAACAAAAAGAATAAATGTTGAGTTACATATTTGTGTCCAAAAATCACCTGAGCAAGTTCTGGGTTGGAAAGCAGGGGGTATGAAAATAAATTTTGGCAGAAAATAATCATGTATGAATTACCTTTGCTTGCCAAAAAAGCAATTCAATCTTATCCTACTTTAGTTGAATTAAAGTATCTAGATTCTGCTCTGCTCTGTTTATTTCATACCCGCAGTACTGAGTATCAAGGAAAAATCAGGTTATGAGAGGATTCAGAACCATATAATATAAGAAATGGTTGAAGAGTCCTGGCCAGGTGGCATAGTTGGTTGGAGTATCATAACCAAAAATTTATGGGTTTGATTCCCAGTCAGGGCACATACCTACCTAGGTTATAGGTTTGATCCCTGGTCAGGGTGCATATGAGAGGCAACCAACTGATGTTTCTCTCACATCAATGTTTCTCTTCACTCTCCCTCTCTCTTCCATTCTCTTTCTAAAATAAGTAAAATATATTCTTGGATGAGGATTAAAAAAATGGAAAGAAAGAAATGGTTGAAGGATATAGAAGTTAAATCAAGAAAAGAAATTATCTGAGGAATATGATGGCTGTGGGCAAATATTTTGTTTTAAGAACTGTGAAGTGAACAGGTTTGGATTTTTCCTCGCACTCCAAGAGAAGCAACAGGACCAGTGAGTTCAAGCCACAGAGGAAAAGATTCTAGATTGCTACCAGATGTGGAAAGAACTTCTCAAAAGGTAGTGAGTGCACTGTTCCTGGAAGTGTTCAAGGATTCTCTAGAGGAGATTAAAGCTTTTGATGGAAGACTGAAAGACTGCCTTTAAGCTTCTACACCTGGAGTATCAGGATGCCTCTGTCCTCCTCCCCATCTCTAACCCCAGCACTTCCTATGGTGACATTCAGGGATCATTCATCAAAGACCAGCTTTGTTTGTGCTGAGCAGAGATTCCGCATATCTGGAGGAATGGAAGCTCCTGGGATGCAAGGAAAATCTTCTTTATCATTCCCCACATAATAGTATCTGATTATAGATCACTTTAAAGTTTTTAAATATGTAATTTTACCCCACACCATGAGGTAAGTAGGAAAGGCATCACTAGAAACTAAGGCTTAGAAAGATTTGCTCCAAGATTAATGGTAGAATTGGCATTCCGGCTTCTGGGCCAGAATTTTGTAATTGTAGCAACTGCTTCTGTGTTTCCCAGGTTCATTCTCATGGGTCTCATGTTTTCAGGAGGTGCCTCTGTAGAACCCTGTATGGAGAATCACAGCTGAGACACAGAAGACAGAACCTGGAGCTTCTAGAGCCCAGTGTTAAGGCTATGCACTTGTAGGCACTGGGTATTTGGGCTACTGGTTAAAATTCTGTTGTGATTGCCGCCTCCAGCTATGTGCCTGCTGTTGCCAGCCTTTAGATCTGCCTCCTCCATCTGTTATCTGCTGCTCCTAGCTGTTATGCCACCACCCACAGCCAAGTAGCTTTATTCTCACTGGTGATGAGAGCCAGAAGCAGAACTTCCGGCCAAGATGGAGGCTTAAGTAGATACACTGTGCTTCCTCTCACAACCAAAAGAAGGGCAACAAGAAATTTAAAAACAAAAAACAACCAGAATGAACAAAAAATCAAACTGTATGGGAGTATGACAACCAAGGAGTTAAAGAAGAAACATTCATCCAGACCTGTAGGAGGGATGAAGCTGAGCAGCCAGGGTGGAGAGGACTCACAGCAAGGTGGTGGCTGGAGGACCAGGGTAAGCAGCAGCTGGCACAGCAGATACACATTTGTGTGTGGATAAAACCAGAGGAACAACTGGGGAGTAAGGCACACCACACAACCCAGGGCTCCAGTGTGGGGAAATTAAGCCTCAAAAGCTCTGACTAAAAAAAAAACCTGTGGGTGTTGTAGCAACAGGAGAAACTCCCACAGAAGAGTTTGTTGGAGAGACCAACAGGTCCCTATCATGTACACAAACCCACCCACCTGGGAATCAGCACCAGAAAAGTACAATTTGCTTCTGGGTAGCAGAAGTGACTGAAAGCTGGCCAAGAGCAAAGCAAGTGGCATTGTTTCCTCTTGAACCCCTCCCCCACATACAGTGCCACAAGGCAGCCACATGGGTTGCCAAAAACATAAGGCTCTGCATCTTACTACATAATAGGTGCACTGACATTTAAAAAAATGGCCCAAATGAAAGAACAGACCAAAACCTCCAGAAAAAAACACAGCTAAGTGATGAAGAGATAGCCAACGTATCAGATGTAGAGTTCAAAATACTGGTAATCAGGAAGCTCACAGAATTGGCTGAGTATGGTCGCAAAATAGAGGAAAAAGTGAAGGCTATAAAAAGTGAAATAAAGCAAAATGCACAGGGAACCAACAGTGATGGGAAGGAAACCAGGACTCACATCAATGGTTTGGAGCAGAAGGAAGAAATAAACATTCACCCAGAACAGAATGAAGAACAAGAATTCACTAAAATGAGGAGAGGCTTAGGAACCTCCAGGACAACTTTAAATATTCCAACATCTGAATCATGGGGTGTCAGAAGGAGGAGGAAGAGCAAGTAATGGAAAAGTTATCTGAACAAATAATGAAGAACTTCCCCAATCTGGCAAAGGAAATAGACTTCCAGAAAGTCCAGGAAGGTCAGAGAGTCCCAAAGAAGTTGGACCCAAGGAAGCACACACCAAGGCACAGCTATGCTGTGTA